TATATATATATATATATATATATATGTGTGTGTGTGTGTGTGTGTGTAATTCAGTAATATTCTAGTTTATAAAATAATATGTAATTTAATTACAGTGGCTCTATAATGACATGCTACAATAGCAGCTCCTGTCAACCTGTCAACATTTACCTTTAACAATGAGCTTGGCAGAAGTCTGAATTCCCTCCGATTTAAAGGTGACAGCTCCGGCGTCCTCTTGTTTTACAGAGGAGAGGATGAGCCCATGCTTCTTGCCCTTGACGATTATTTTGCAGCAATCTGAGGCTTTTAGCCTTAGCCCATCTTTGGCCCAGAAACCTTCCACATCTTCATGCGAGAGATCCACCTCGAAGGTGGTGGAGTCATTCTCACGGACCTCCACATCCCGGAGACCTTTCACCAGCTTCACCTGTCGCACTTGAAGAACACAAAAAGGTAATACACTATGTCCATCAATACACTATGAATACAAGTATATTCATCACGAGACAATGAGGAGGCATGGGTCTACAAGAACCAAGGCTTCCTTCTTTGAACTTCGTTGTAGATTTACTGAACGGTACACCTCTGATTTTCTAAATTCTGCATAGTCAAAGCTATGACTCTGCGGTATGATAAGTCTACCAGCCCAGGATTCAGTGTTTTCATCCAGACATAACTACAGTGCTTTGTACCAGCTCCATTCTGGAAAACTGTGAACATCATCTTAAGTTTGCATGCGATGGGGAGTTCTCAGTCTTACCTACCACAGGGTCTCTTCTCCCAGGAGAGAGAAGGATGGGTCACTGCACCTGCTATGTCATCACCAGCACCTTCTATCAGCTTCTTCCTTCTGTTCTCCTTGCACTCCACACCCCCATCTTTTCTTACCTTCACTGTTATTTATTTCAAGCTATCCCCCTTCCTCATGCTCCTCCATGCTTTTTCTGTTGTATGTTCCTAAACGTGTTATATATTTATAAAATGCAAATCTAAATCAATTTATTTTAATTATCATTAAAGCAAATCCATCACATAAGAGGCATAATCAACTGCAGAACAAAGCTTCCAAAATCTTCTCTTGGCCCACAGCTCTTCCATCAATACTAATATTTTAGAGAGTAACTTTAGGTTCCCGATGGTACAGAGACCCTGTACAACCAATTGAATTAAACTCCTGGACTTTTCGGTAGTACTGGAGGTGTGGATTGGTCCAGGGTACGCTTTCTCATATCTGGTGGAACTGCTCCCTGATAAAAGCTTTTGGGTACAGATCATTAATATAATAACAAAATAACTCTACCAAGACTCTTCCATAGGCCCCCTTGGTTCCATAATGCAACCATGTCTGTCCCCAAATACAAGATATCAGATACCTCAACTCCTAAATGCAGCTAAAAAGCATCCTGAAATAATCTTGCGCTGACCATCACCGGCATTCTCCCACACACCGCTGACTGACAGCACTCGATACCGCAACAGAGCGGCTTCTCTCCCACGCAGCCGCAGAAGGCTCAGCCTGGCCAGCTGTGTCTTCTTTGCACTGTACCGCTTGAACCAGCGACCAATAGACTCTCTATATATAGTATATAGAGTATATATAGACTATAGTATATTGGTCCCTTCAGCCTTTCTCTCCAGGTTCCACACAGTCCCTCCTTACCGGTAGGCATCATCAAACAGTGAGCTAACTCAGGTTTCCCTACCATCTTTTTATATATATCTCTCTATATATATCACACTGTAAATTAAGTTTTTAAAAGGTTGGGCGCTTCTTTTTCTGCTTTTTGTTGAATTTATGCACAGTGTCCCTCTCCCTGTTTGAGAAGCCAGCACACCCAGTGCCACTAATTATATTAAAATACTGATCCCATTTCACAGTTGTGCGCTTACCACACATTTTTGTTGTTTGTATCTGGAATAATCTTGGAAGACCTCTAGACCACCACCAGTGACCAAATGGATATTGCGAGTAGACAAAATACATCTAATAAAAGAAATTACCATTCCAAAGAAGGATGACTATCAAACCTATTTTAAAATCTGGGCTTGCAGGATATATTTAACCCAGATCACTGTAGATTATTGTTAGAACGAGCTTCAGATCCTATCCTACAGTAAATAGGTTTATATACCTTCTAAAATAACTACGAGTTGGCCCACCTTTCAAGGCCCATAACATGACTGGTGAGTCTTTAAATAGGAGCGTCACTCTCTCAAATGAAAATGTATTTTTCACACTTGCCTTTGGTGCTCTTATTATGTTGTAATAACATACTTACAAGTCCAATGGGTCCAGCGTTGTCCACTTCTCTCTCACTGCTCCCTTCCTAAAGGTCCTTATCCTGTGCTGCAATTTTTCTTCTTCTCAGCATAGAAAATTGCCTATCTCTTCCTGATTCCTATGGCCGGCTCCTGAAGACACGACACCAGATCTCGCACAAGCGCAGAGATCTGGTGGCAGGTCTGTTTACATGAACAAAAAGGATCTCGTCCTGTAGGCTCCTGGGATAGGTGGGGTTGGTATCCCAGGAGGCTCGAGGAAGAGAATGAAACGTCAAAGTGGCCCCACACAATTGACGTCACCAGCATTTTACCCTTGCAGGCTTAGTCGTCATGGTGGCAGGGGCAGGCCATCCACACATTATAAAGACAAGTCCATACATTATCAATCACATCTTAAAAAAATATTCAAAAAGACTGCATAGGTTCTCTTATGGAAAATAAATTAATCTGATTTTGTTTCTGCTACTGGAAGCATATAGGTTAATAAATAAGTGCGCAGAGTATAGAGTGTCCCATTCACTTAATCTGCTGCTATAGTCATTTTGCAGTCTGGGACGGAGCTGTGAACTAATTGAAAAGACTCCACACAGGAAAACATTGCTTCCTCTAATCCAGGCTCTCTCTGAGGGCACAAGTTGCCACAACAAACAGCGACCTTGTCATTTCAGCACCTCTAAAACAAGCTGGTAGCCAATATAAATCCCAGCTACAAATTGTCAGAGCTTCATCTCCCATTACTGCATATTGCAATGTGCCCATATAGTTTGCTCTATAGAGCACTTACCCAATACTTGTGGTGGGTGCTCAGAATCACTACAAAGGATGAAGGAGTGTAGAATCCAGATAGAAATGCAAAAAGTCACGAGCACTCCAACTTACATTTTTTTCACCTTTCTGTTATGAAAAAATGATCACATATGGTCATGTAGCTGATGCTTCACACCATGACAGGCTCCCTTTTTCAAGGCAACAAAGTGCTTCAGAAAGGGATCCTGTGAGGCCCCACAACATCGGCTATACGACCATATGTGACTATTTTTTCATATACCCTTAGTCCTCCCCACCGCCACCCATCAAAAGTTATATACACCTCCGGTACAGGCCCCAGAACTTCCTAGTCCTGGTGATACCAACACTAATCCCGGGCTCATTAAAGGTTCTGACTTACTCTCTACATTAAGCTTGGCCTGCGTCTTGTCATCCAGAGTCTCGCAGCCATACAGCCCTCGGTCAGCATATGCCACGTTCTTTAAAATGAGGGTCTGTTTTGCTCCTTCGGATTTAATTTCAATGTTATCGCCAGACTGAAGCACAATGCCGCTTTTCATCCACTTCACTTCTTTGGATGGTTTGGTCAGCTCTGCTTCCAGGTGGACCGTCTGCCTCTCCTCCACCGTGATGGTTTCCAACTTCTTCTTAAACAAGACTGGGGCCTCTGACCGGGAAATATAAGGTACAGCTTTTATATAGGTGACACAAACTTCAGTTTAGCTTTCACTGGCTAAATTTATAATGCAGCAGATAGGAAAGAGTGGGGTCAGGCTTATGAGTACAGGAGCTGGTCAATTTTGCCTATCAGAGTGTTCTAGGAGGCTTTAGGTTTGCTTTAAAAAGTATATCAGATGCATGCTTTCAAATCACCTTTATCTTTGTTGACAAAGAAGATACAATATATGGCCAAAAGTATGTGACCCCTCCTCCAAATGATTCAGTTCAGCTGTTTCTAATGTTAAGGCTACAGCATACAAAGACATTCTAGACAACTGTGCTCTTCCAACCTTGCGACAAAAGTTTAGTGAAGTCCCTTTTCTGTTCCAGTATGACTGTCCCCTGTGTACAAAGCCAGATCCATAAAGACTTAGGCTGACCAGTTTGGTGTGAAGGAACCTGAGTTGCCTGCACATAGTCCACACTTCAACCCTACTGATGAGCACCATTGGGATAAATTGGAACACCGATTGTGTGCCAAATATTCTCGCCCAATATCAGTGCCTGGCCTCCCAAATGCTCTTTTGGTTGAATGGGTATAAATTCCCACAGACAGAGGCCAACATCTTGTGAAAAGCCTTCCCAGAAGAGTAGAGGCTTTTATAGTTGCAAGGTGGGAGGGGAGGCGAATCCATCTTGGTGCCAATGGCTTTGGAAGGGGATGTCTAACAAGCTCATAAAGGTGTAATGGCCAGTAAAGAGAGCTCTGAAATTAAAGTGGGGCAAAGAAAAACTAAAGTAGAGGTGGGACATGTATAAAGGATGTCCTTAAAGCCTTTAACTAGCTTTAACTGTCACATGAGATTTCATTTCTGTGAAACTTAAAAAATTTGCATTTTGGTGAACAAAATATATGAGAGAATTCACATAACTCAAACTAATTAGCCTCAGTGCTTTTTCCCATAGTTCTCTGAAGGGTCACGGGAGGACACAAACTAGCGTTCTCCCGTCACCCAAAGCTCAGTATATAGGGAGCTACAGCTCACGATATACTGAGACCGCCGCAGCCGGGACGGATCCCGACATTACTGTTGAGATCCACCCAGCTGCGTGATTGACAGCTGGCTCTGCCTATCTAGAGGCAGAGCCAGCTGTTCCCGCCCCCTCCCCGTCTGTTCTGGCAGTCACCGCTGAAGGATCGGAGCGAGGAGGGGGAATCCCTGCAGTGAGCCGTGAGTGACAGTCACGGCTCTCTGCAGGCACAGGATCGAGAAGTGAGCGAGCGACGGTATGTGTTCGCTCACTTCCCGATCTATTGAGCCGACCTGTGACAGTTTCATTGTCACACGTCGGCTCGAACTATGAGGATGAGTGATTTTCACTCACCTCATAGTTCTCCTTTAAGTTAAGGTGGGATAGATACGTTACTGACTACACAGTATGTGATCTCTCTGAGACACCAGGGGAAAGAGTCCCCTACCAGATCATCCATTTCTGACCCACTGTGCTCCAGTGGAGTCTCATAGTCTAATTCCTTTTGCATTCTCTATCTCTGCAGCAGGACATAGCTGAGAACTTGGATGCGAAGAATTTCAGGAGATACAGCGTGTCAGCATTTTCTTAAAGTTCCATTATATTAGTACTATATCACTTGGTAGACTTAAATCTTTGTAGCCATTTGTTTGAGCCAGGCAAACCCTGCTAGACAGTTTAGCCAGGTTAACAGGCTACAGTTAAAAAACTACAGCAAGACCTGGATAAACCCAACTTGCTGATTGGGCAATGAAGAAGAGGCAGAAAACTGATAAGGTCAAAAGTCTGCTTTCTCCTCCTTGTCAGCTCAATACCTGAGTGGCTTCTACTGATGGCTCTCCATCTCCCTATCTCTAAGTGCTGCTGTGAAGGGAAATAAAGGAGGCTGACACAATTGCAGGAGCAGTTTTGAGGTGACTGACCCTTTGAAATGTCTACATTGACCTTTAACCTCTTCAGCATCAGGAACAAAGGGAAATCAAAATAAATTTCCAAGTTTGTCTGATCAAAGCAAAGACTGGCTGTAATAATGTTCATTCATATGAGTGTCTCCCGCTGGTCCTCACCTCGGACCTTCAGGCTAGACATTGTTTTCACCCCTTCGGCCTCAGCCGTGATCTCGCCGGCATCTTGCAGGGTCAGCTTGGCGATGATCAGGGTATGCACCATCCCTTTCTTGCTGAATGAGTACTTGTTGCTCTTTTCTATCTTGGCCCCATTTCGGTACCAGGTCACCTCGGCATCTTCTGGGGACAATGTGCACTTAAATGTGACTTCTGCTCCTTCCTCCACTACCACGTTATTCAGTTCTGCTGTAAACTTCACCACACGAGGAGCTGCCGGAACAAAATTGATATTTTTAAAGTAAATGTCAAGGAAAAATAGAAAATAAACATGTTTTGTACATCTCTGCAAAGCAAGCACATTTCCTCATGTTTTATCCCTTTAAAAATGCTGCAAGTACAGAAAAATAAGTGTTGTTGTGCCAACCTTCCCCTATGACATGACAACACAGCCCTGAATTCCAAAGCATGCGGTGTCAGCCCTGTCTACCTAATTTGTGATAGATTATAAACAGCACAGACCTCTCCTTATTTCTATAACCCTTCCTTATTTCCTTAACTCCTCCCCATCTCCATAACCTCTCTTAATCCCCATAACGCCTCTTCATCTTCATAACCCCTCCCCCATCTCCATAACCCCTCCTCATCTCCATAACCCTTTGTCATCTCCATAACCCCATCTTATCCCCATAACCCCTCCCCATCTCCTTAACCCCTCCTTTTCTACATAACCCTTTGTCATCTCCATAACCCCTCCCCATCTCCATAACCCTACCGCATCCCCATAACTTGTCCTCATCTTCATATCCCCTCCTTACCCCCATAACCCTTCTCTATCTCCTCCCCCCTCCTCATCACCATGACTTATCATCATCTCCATAACTCTTCCCCATCTTGCCCCCTCCTCATCACCATTACCCCTCCTCATTCCCTCCCCCCATCACCATAACCCCTCCTCATCTGCCTAACCTCTCCTCATTTCCATAATCATTCTCCATCTCATCCCCCGTCCTCATCACCATAACTCCTACTAATCTCTATAACCCCTCCCCATCTTCTCCCCCTCCTCATCACTATACCCCCTCCTCCTCACCATTACCCCTCCTCATTCCCTTCCCCACATCACCATAACCCCACCTTATCTCTATAACCCCTACCTGGGGTCATATGGTTTCTTGCAACCCCTTCAACCACTACTTTTGTAGACAGCTTGGCCTGGTTCAGAAAGTGAAAAAATAATGGATCTACTTGCAGGATGAACAGGTAATAAAACTATGTTCCAGGGGACGTAATACACAATTTACTAATTAAAGAAATACAGTGTTAAAGTCAGACCACCCACCAAAAGAGATCTACAGTTTATTGTTCCATTGATTGTCTGCATTACATCCTTCTGAATCATTTTATTCATAATTCTAATGGAAAGGTCTCCTAATCCTCAGCCTGATCATGGATGGCCCTCCAATCAGGGGAGTAGACCACACTACTGTAGAACTGCTACCCCCCCTCATCCCATATCTCCAGCAACATTATTGTTATGAAAATATTATCAATTGACAAACCATAGGAGAAGGGACTAGAAACATTCCAATAAAAATGACAGTACAAATAACAGTTGATATTAAAGTCCAGGTTTACCCTGATCACCTGCTCCAAGTATAAGATATCCACATTCTGGTATATTAAGTGGTCATAATAATCTGGCCACTCAGTGTATATATGTGTATATATATATATATACACACATGTATATATATATATATATAGCAATTAAGTAACAGTTTACCATTTAGATTGGCAAAAGGAATGTGAAGCAGCTACCTTTGGTGGTGAGTTGTGTGATGGTTTTATCGTCCCGGGATTCGCAGGAATACTCTCCTCCATCCTCAGCCTTCAGTTGGGAGATGGTCAGGCTGCGCTTGGTTCCATCTGACCGGATCTGAAAGCGTTTGCTGGCTTTGATTTCGTCTCCGTTCCTCTTCCAGACAACATCGCCCTTCTCCTGTCCCAGTTCGCAGGTCAGGGTGATGGAAGAGCCGGTCTCTCCGGTCACAGCTTCCAGCTTCTTTGTGAACTTTACCGGGATTTCTGATGTACAGAGTAAATACAAAAAACTTCCATTGAGCTGAAAATAAAATCCAATCCCCACCAGCATAACTATAACCAATGCAACAGTGTATGAAAACTACAGCAGATCCTTACCTTGTTCTTTTCTATAGATGAAAATGAAGGCCTTGTCAGCACTTTTTAAAACTGATCTGTGTGTGTGTATGTAGGTGGGGGAGGGGGGATGCATTCACTATATTTGTCAGATTAGCCTTCATCTTGTAATCATCATCATCATCAATGTTGTAATTAAAAAGGCTGCTGCCTCAGCATCGCTTTACAGAAGCATGAGCCTTTGAAAATGCCAAAGATTAAACTATTGTGTGGAATGCCCATAACTTCAGCCTTTGAGAAGTCTACTGTGAAAAGCAGTAAGCCAATCACATGAAAAAGGACAAGGTACATTATATGACCAAAGGTCTGTGGACACCTGAACACCACACCTTTCTATATAGCCAAATCTACGTGGACACCCCTCCAAATGACTGAATCAGAGTGTTTCCTGTAAAGGGTACTATTAATGCTACAGCATACAAAGACTCGTGTTCCTTCAACCTTGTGGTAACAGTTTAGTGAGGGCCCTTTTCTATTCCACCATGACTGTGTGCTATATACAAAGTTGGCTCCATAAAGACAGTGTTTGACTAGTTTGATGTGGAGGAGCTCAAGTGGCCTGCACAGAGCCCTGACGTCAATGCTACTGATTTGGAATTGAAATGACAATTGTGATCCAGGTCTTCTTATCCCACATCAGTACCTGACCTCACAGATGTTTGTTTGGCTGAATGGGTTCACATTCCCACAGACACAATACAAAATCTTGCTGAAAGCCTTCTCAGAAAAGTGAAGGTTGTTATAGGCACAAAAGCAGACCAACAGGGTTATTCACAAAAGGGTGAAGAGTTTGGAGAAGGCCGGAGAAGTGAACAATCTAGGACAACATAGCTGATTTGGAAAAATTCTCCAATTCAGCTCCTTTCTAGTTCAGCTATGTTGTCCTAGATTGTTCACTTCTCCTGCCTTCTCCAAACTCTTCACCCTTTTGTGAATAACCCTGCAAGTCTACATTAACGGCCATGGTTTTGGAATAGGATGTTCCACATGCTCATATAGGTTTGATGGACAGGAGTCAACAAAGCTTTGGCTATATTTCATAGTGCTGTCTGGCTGAAGCTTGATATGTAAAGGTAATTTTTGTTGAGCACATGTTAATAAATTATAAAATAGCTTTCACTACATTTATATATGTTACAGTTTAAGGCAATCAGAAACAGTTATTTTTTTAGAGAAGTAAAGGCTAAGTAATGGTAAGTAAAGGCTGTTCACTTTGCAAAGGATATGTTCTCTTAGCCGAGAAAATACAGCAAAGCTATGCGCCCTTTTAAGACCCAATCATGTATGAGGAACATTTAAAAAATAAAACAGGATTTTCGCTTGCACATGATTGGATGGTGAACACCACTTCAACTCATTCAATAAGTGAACATGTTATGTGTGGTAAATCTACCATACAGGAAAAAACTATAGCAAGCATGTAATTAAATAAATTCACTCCCTTGGGGAGTGTGCCTGACAAGCCTAAGCCCTCGTGCACACCTGAACGTTTTGTAGCGCGTTCTACGCTCGACGAACGCTCTACAAAACGCTCAAAAATATAAATCCCATTGTATTCAATGGTCTCGTTCCCACCTTGGCGTATTTCCGCCCGTCCCTAACGCGCTACAAAACGGCCCACGCCTGAAAAGGTACAGGTACTACTTTGGGCCGTTTTGTTGCGCGTTTCCATTGGGATACAGCCAAGTAGCCTTCGGAAACGCGCGAATGTTATGCTGTTGGGGGGCTTCAGGGGAAATATTGGGGGTCTAAACAGACCTCTGATATTTCCTTTGTGAAATAGAAAAAGAGATTGAGGACATACAGGTGGGCGAGAGCAGCGAGGATCCGAGGGGAAGCTTGATCCTGTGCCGCTCCTCTTCTCCCTGCCGAGCCGCAACTGTGTTGGCCCCTTGGCGCCCCTGTTACCAATGGCGCTCAGTGCTCGCTTTGGCAACAGGGGTGAGGGGGCGTAGCAAGGCTGGCCCTGGCTGCGCCCCCTCCTAGCTGCGCCTGAGGCAACTGCCTCACTTGCCCCATGGTAGCAACAGCCCTCTATCTATCTATCTATCTATCTATCTATCTATCTATCTATCTATCTATCTATCTATCTATCTATCGATCGATGTTCCTATGCTGTTCTGCAGCTTCTGAATTCCCATACATACCAGCAAACACAGCACGCAGTTCCTCACCTTTCACCTGGACTTTAAATTCCTGCTTGTCGCTGCTGATGCGGCAGGAGTACACGGCGCTGTCCTTAGACTCCGCTGATTTCACCACCAGTGCCCTGGACGCACCATCTGCTGATATTTGGTACTTCTTGGAGGCGGACAATTCTATTCCGTCTTTAAACCATTTCACTGGAACATTTTCAGGCTGAACTGAGGTCACCATTGTTATGTCTTCATGTTCCTGGACAACAATTGACTCTTTCTGTGCAGGGAGTTTCTGGAACTTGGCTTCTGGCTCTAAGGGGAAAATTGAGAAGATCTTATTAATGAATGATCATGGTGGTTAGATACAGATATGCGGTAGATCAAGTCCTTGTTGGATATTCCACAATGATGACTCCTAAATTCTGAGGGCATTTAAATCGACTTTTAAAAGTAAAACTACTGCAGACTTTGACCTTCTTTTGCTGTGTAGATATTAACATAAGATATTCCGGGGGTCTATAGGAAAGTGAGCTCTGAATGTAAGGGTCTGCTCATTGCAATTAAGTAATCAATCCTAACGTTGACCTTCCTCTCAGCATCACTTCACTTTATTCACAATCCTTATCCTATATTTAATTTTTTAAACTGCCACCAACCTTTGACACTGATCTTGAAGTTGATCTTCTGTCCGGCAACCTCACAGGTATATTCTCCGGCATCTTTCTTCTCCACCTGCTCCACCACCAGACGTCGAGATTTACCCTCAGTCTCCACTCTTATTTTCTTGCTAGAGGTGATGAGTTTGCCCTCTTTGTACCATTTCACCTCCGTCTTCTCCTGGGCCACCTCACAGCTTAGGGTGGCCTTCTCTGACAACACCGCCTGGACATCTTTCTGGACCTTGTCCAGGCTGGTGAATGCCGGTTCTGGTTCTGAAATATAATCATTAATTTACAGCTAATTTAACATTTTAGTATATGTCATTTGAAACATCCTCAAAGTAGAATCTGAATCCAATCCAGCATTACAAGAGTCCTAGCACCAGCACAACCAAATCAACCGGTTATTCCTAAAACTAGAGCCCCTGGTGACCAATTACAGTGGTAGATCACTTACAGAAATATATCAACCTATATCCAATCAGAAATTAGAGCCTTCTCTTGAAACTGACCTGTAGTGGTCAGATTATACACAGGACCAAAACCAACCTGTATGTGGCCATCACATTCTAGTTAGGCTTGTACATTTTCTGCAGATATTTTGGTAGAAAAGCTTGACAAATGAAACAGCTGTAACACATGTGCCTGGAATAGCCACTGCCAGCTTCCCCAGCTCCCCATGATCCTACTAAGTACCTTTGACATTGATCTTGAAGTTGATCTTCTGGCCAGCGGCTTCGCAGGTATATTCTCCGGCGTCTTTCTTCTCCACTTGTTCCACCACCAGATGGCGAGATTTGCCCTCAGACTCCACCCTCACTTTCTTGCTGGAGGTAATTATTTTCCCTTCCTTGTACCACTTCACCTCTGTCTTCTCCTGGGCAACATCACAGCTCAGGGTGGTCTTCTCTGACAAGATGGCTTGGACTTCTTTTTGGACCTTTTCCTGATGGATAAATGCTGGCTCTGGTTCTGAAATAAAAGAGCATTTAAGATGAATTTACACATAATTTAACATTCTAGTATATACATCACTCCAAACATCCCCAAAGTAAATTCTGAATCCAATCCAGCATTACAAGAGTCCTAGCACCAGCACAACCAAATCAACCGGTTATTCCTAAAACTAGAGCCCCTGGTGACCAATTACAGCGGTAGATCACTTACAGAAACAGATCAACCTATATCCAATCAGATAATTAGAGCCTTCTCTGGAAACTGACCTGTAGTGGTCAGATTATACACAGGACCAAAACCAACCTGCATGTGGCCATCACATTCTAGTTAGGCTTGTATATTTGCTGCAGATATTTTGTAGAAAAGCTTGACAAATGAAACAGCTGTAACACATGTGCCTGGAATAGCCACTGCCAGCTTCCCCAAGTCCCCATGATCGTACTAACCTTTGACATTGATCTTAAAGTTGATCTTCTGGCTAGCGGCTTCGCAGGTATATTCTCCGGCATCTTTCTTCTCCACTTGTTCCACCACCAGACGTCGAGATTTACCCTCAGTCTCCACCCTTATTTTCTTGCTAGAGGTGATGAGTTTGCCCTCTTTGTACCATTTCACCTCCGTCTTTTCCTGGGCCACCTCACAGCTCAGGGTGGCCTTCTCTGACAACACCACCTGGACCTCTTTCTGGACCTTGTCCAGGGTGGTGAATGCCGGTTCTGGTTCTGAAATAAAAGGCCATTTAAGATGAATTTACTGATAATTTATCATTCTACTATATACGTCATCCGAAACATCCCCAAGTAAAACCTGAATCCAATCCAGCATTACAAGAGTCCTAGCACCAGCACAACCAAATGAACAGGTTATTCCTAAAACTAGAGCCCCTGGTGACCAATTAGAGCTGTAGATCACTTATAGAAACAGATCAACCTATATCCAATCAGATAATTGGAGACTTCTCTGGAAACTGACCTGTAGTGGTCAGATTATACACAGGACCAAAACCAACCTATTTGTGACCATCACATTCTAGTTAGGCTTGTACATTTTCTGCAGATATTTTGGTAGAAAAGCTTGACAAATGAAACAGCTGTAACACATGTGCCTGGAATAGCCACTGCCAGTTTCCCCAGCTCCCCATGATCCTACTAAGTACCTTTGACATTGATCTTGAAGTTGATCTTCTGGCCAGCGGCCTCGCAGGTATATTCTCCGGCGTCTTTCTTCTCCACTTGTTCCACCACCAGATGGCGAGATTTGCCCTCAGACTTCACCCTCACTTTCTTGCTGGAGGTAATTATTTTCCCTTCCTTGTACCACTTCACCTCTGTCTTCTCCTGGGCAACATCACAGCTCAGGGTGGTCTTCTCTGACAAGATGGCTTGGACTTCTTTTTGGACCTTTTCCTGATGGATAAATGCTGGCTCTGGTTCTGTAACAAAAGTATGAACCAAAATGGGTCTGTTGTTCCATAAATTTGGGGATGTCTGACATTTTTATTTTTTTCATGCAAAGGCAGACGGTGGTTAGCTGGCACTTCAACTTCAATCTCACTAGAGTCCACACAAAGATGATGAAGAGACCTAAAGCAGTTCTTCTCACCTCATAACCCCAGTGAAATTCAGGGGTTTCTTTGGGTGTTCCCCATAAATCATAACTGAAAGCAGACCCAAAGCAAACACATATAGTTTAATGGGTCACTCCACAATGTAGCCATAAATGCAACAGATTGTCTGGAAAAAAACTTCCATTGTGAAGATAAATGTAAAATAGTTGGCTACCCAGACATTCCTGGTCAGCAGAGGCATTCCTGATGCACCTTAAGTGTTTGGTCATCAGGCCTCCTCTCTGTTATAGTCCTATGAACTGGTTGGACAGATTAGGAGTAAAAAACCTACTGAAATCAGTTTTCCAAGATGCATCAAATAATTCTAGGCAACCTCTAACCTGGAGGTTCAGGTTAGAGACATGTAACTGTAGGTCCCATTTAAGTATCTGTTTACTCTTGTTTAGATTAGACATAATAAAAAATAAAGAATTAATGGAACCTGGAAATATTAATTACCTTTGACATTGATCTTGAAGTTGATCTTCTGCCCAGCAGCCTCACAGGTATATTCTCCAGCGTCTTTCTTCTCTACCTGCTCCACCACCAGACGTCGAGATTTACCCTCAGTCTCCATCCTTATTTTCTTGCTAGAGGTGATGAGTTTGCCCTCTTTGTACCATTTCACCTCCGTCTTCTCCTGGGCCACCTCACAGCTAAGGGTGGTCTTCTCTGACAACACCACCTGGACCTCTTTCTGGACCTTGTCCAGGCTGGTGAATGCCGGTTCTGGTTCTGAAATAAAAGGCCATTTAAGATGAATTTACTGATAATTTAACATTCTAGTATATATGTCACTCGAAACATCCCCAAGTAAAACCTGAATCCAATCCAGCATTACAAGAGTCCTAACACCAGCACAACCAAATTAACAGGTTATTCCTAAAACTAGAGCCCCTGGTGACCAATTAGAGCTGTAGATCACTTACAGAAACAGATCAACCTATATCCAATCAGATAATTAGAGCCTTCTCTGGAAACTGACCTGTAGTGGTCAGATTATACACAGGACCAAAACCAACCTGCATGTGGCCATCCCATTCTAGTTAGGCTTGTATATTTGCTGCAGATATTTTGTAGAAAAGCTTGACAAATGAAACAGCTGTAACACATGTGCCTGGAATAGCCACTGCCAGCTTCCCCAGCTCCCCATGATCCTACTAACCTTTGACATTGATCTTGAAGTTGATCTTCTGGCCAGCAGCTTCACAGGTATATTCTCCGGCGTCTTTCTTCTCCACTTGTTCCACCAACAGACGCCGAGATTTACCCTCAGTCTCCACCCTTATTTTCTTGCTAGAGGTGATGAGTTTGCCCTCTTTGTCCATTTCACCTCCGTCTTTTCCTGGGCCACCTCACAGCTGAGGGTGGCCTTCTCTGACATCACCACCTGGACCTCTTTCTGGACTTTGTCCAGGCGGGTGAATGCCGGCTCTGGTTCTGAAATACAAGAACATGTAAGATGAATTTTCAGATAATTTAACATATAGTGCGTCATGCGAAACATCCCCAAAGTAAAACCTGAATCCAATGCAGCATTACAAGAGTCCTAGCACCAGCACAACCAAATCATCCGGTTATTCCTAAAACTAGAGCCCCCCATGACCAATTAAAGCGGTAGATCACTAACAGAAACAGACCAACCTATATCCAATCAGAAATTAGAGCCTTCTCTGGAAACTGACCTGTAGTGGTCAGATTATACACAGGGCCAAACCAACCTGTATGTGGCCATCTCATTCTAGTTAGGTTTGGAAATTCTCTGCAGATATTTTGTAGAAAAGCTTCACAAATCAAACAGCTGCTATACTGTACATGTGCCTGGAATAGCCACTAGCAGTTTCCCCAGGTCCCCATGATCCTACTAACCTTTGACATTGATCTTGAAGTTGATCTTCTGGCCAGCAGCCTCGCAGGTATACTCTCCAGCGTCTTTCTTCTCCACTTGTTCCACCACCAGATGTCGAGATTTGCCCTCAGACTCTACCCTCACTTTCTTGCTGGAGGTAATTATTTTCCCTTCCTTGTACCACTTCACCTCTGTCTTCTCCTGGGCCACATCACAGCTCAGGGTGGCCTTCTCTGACAAGATAGCCTGGACCTCTTTTTGGACCTTTTCCTGATGGATAAATGCTGGCTCTGGTTCTGTAACAAAAGTATGAACCAAAATGGGTCTGCTGTTCCATATATTTGGAGATATTTGACATATTGTTCTTTTTTTCATGCAAAGGCGGAGGGTGGTTAGCTGGTAATTCAACCTCAATCTCACAAAGATGATGAAGAGACCTAAAGCAGTTCTTCTCTACTCAAAACTCTTGTGAGTTCTTTGGGTGATCCCCATAAATCACAACTGAAAGCAGACCCAAAGCAAACACATAGAGTTTAATGCGTCACTCCACAATGTAGCCATAAATGCAACAGATTGTGCGGAAAAAAACCTCCATTGTGAAGATAAATGTAAAATAGTTGGCTACCCAGACATTCCCGGTCAGAAGATGCAGAGGCATTCGTGATGCACCTTAAGAGTTTGGTCATCAGGCCTCCTCTCTGTAATAGTCTTATCAACTGGTTGGACAGATTAGGAGTAGGAAACCTAATGAAATCAGTTTTCCAAGATGCATCAAACAATTCTAGGCAACCTGAAGGTTAGAGATATGTAACTGTAGGTCCCCTTTAAAGGAGAACTGTGGGGTTAAGGCTTTTCCCCATAGTTCTCCTTAGGGTAACGGGAGGACACAAACTAGCGTCCTCCCGTCACCCTAGGCTCAGTATACCGTGAGCTGTAGCTAGCGGTATACTGAGACTCCACAGCTGAAGCGGATCCCGACAATTGTGCCGGGATCTGCCCAGCTGCGTGACTGACTGCTGGCTCTGCCTATCTAGAGGCAGGGCCAGCTGTACCCGCCCCCTCCCCCGTCCGATCCGCCAGTCAGCGCTGGCGGATCGGAGCGGGGAGGGGGGAATCCAGCCCCTCCCCTGTCACGGCAGAGAGCCGTGACAGGATTGAGCACTCACCTCGTAGTTCTACTTTAAGTATCTGTTTAGATTAGACATAATACAATTATAAAGAATAAATGGAACCTGGAAGTATTAATTACCTTTGACGTTGATGTTGAAGTTGATCTTCTGTCCGGCAGCCTCACAGGTATATTCTCCGGCGTCTTTCTTCTCCACCTGATCCACCACCAGACGTAGAGATTTACCATCAGACTCCACCTTCAGTTTCTTGCTAGAGGTGATCAGTTTCCCGTCCTTGTACCATTTCACTTCTCTTTTCTCATGGGACACCTCACAGCTCAGGGTGGCCTTCTCTGACAGCACAGCTTGAACCTCTTTCTGTACCTTGTCCATATTGATAAATGCTGGCTCTGGTTCTGAAATACAAAAAGGCCAACAGAAGCAAAAAAATGTTTTATTCTGGTAACTGTATGGTGTTAATACCTGTTATTATAGTATTTCATTTTAATTACGGGTCTTAATTGATATTTTTCCCTGCAAAAAAGCTCACAATTCATTGGGGCCAGACTGGCTTATTACTAACAGCTGTAGCTCTGCCTGCAGGCCAAGCTGTCCAAATAGTGCCAAAGTGACAGTTTTTACTAAAGTAAACATGTGAATTTTTTTTTTTTTTTTAATCTCTACTTAAATGAAAATTGAAGCATGAAATGCATGTGTATTGCAGACACAGTCACAACTATTAGTAATAAGCCAGTCTGGCCCCACTGGCTGGGGTGAATTGTGAGCTTTTTTCAATGTCGATTCATTACATCAGCATTGCCTTGGGATTGTACCTTAAAGGAGAACTATGAGGCGAGTGTTACAATGTCTTTATAAGGAAAGCTTGCGACCGGTGTTTGCATACTTCATTCACACAGGAGCTGCTTTGAAGGAGAACTATGAGGTGAGTGATTTTCACTCAGCCTCATAATCTGAGCCGACCTGTGATAATGAAACAGTCACAGGTCGGCTCAGTAGATCGGGAAGTGAGCGAACACATACCGTCGCTCGCTCACTTCTCGATCTATCCCTGCAGAGAGCTGTGACTGTCACTCACGGCTCCCTGCAGGGATTCCCCCCTCCCCGCTCTGATCCTCCAGCGCTAACTGGCGGAATGGACGTGGGAGGGGGCGGGCACAGCTGGCTCTGCCTCTAGATAGGCAGAGCCCGCTGTCACTCAAGCAGCTGGGCGGATCCCATCAGTATTGTCGGGATCCTTTCCGGCTGCGGCGTCTCAGTATACCGCGAGCTGTAGCTCGCGGTATACTGAGCTTTGGGTCATGGGAGGACGCTAGTTTGTGTTCTCCTGTGACCCTGAGGAGAACTATGGGGAAAAGCCCTTACCCCATAGTTCTCCTTTAAGTCCTAGCTCCTGATGTATATACCTGGATCACTGGTATTGAGGCCATTGGATCCACATGACAGAAGAGCAGGGTTTTTCAGGTGGTGATTAGCAATGGCAGCCTACATATAATGCAGGTCTCAGGCATAACATCCTTGTGTTCGGCTATTGCATTTACTTTATATGGGCCGAAAAATTTTGGCTGCATTAGGATATTTCTAAAGTAGACCAACCTGTTGCCAATCAGTGTGTCAGGAACCGGATCTGAACCCAGGACCTCTGCTGTAGCTGGCAGTGGTTCTACCTGCTGAGCCACCTTAGAAACCTGGATAGCTCATTGCCTGATCTCCTGTGTAATCCTCAGGTAAACCTAGTTTCTGCTGAACTATGAACTCCTTGCTCCTCCATTGAACTTCCTATTTAAGCCACGCCTCTGCACTTCCTGTTTGCCAGAATATTGTGTTTCTGCCAATATCTTGCTTCCTGCTCCCTCTGTGATACAATCCGCTCATACTGCTACCCGTGTACCAACCTTTGGCTGCTGATTCACCGACTACTCTCATCGTCTTCTGCTTCATACCTGATACCTTTGGCTACTGACCTCGGCTTGTTCGCTGACTATGCTTCTGACTGCTCAATTTGCCTGCTGTTTCAGCTTCTGGACTCTGAGCCTGATCCCAGATCGTGACACAGTGTTATAGAACAGGTGTGCTTTCGGAGGAGCAGACCAAGCTGTGGTTACTCTGGAGGAACCTATTAACCCGAGCGTGAAAACACCCAAAGGACTAGAATGGCCTTCATCTAATCCGACAATTTCAGTTTTCACAAGAAACTGGCCTGTAGACAATCAGCTCATTAGAACATAAACAGGACTGAGCCAATCATTCCTCTGCAAATATTTGCCATTGTAAAAATGTTTAGCCCTAAAATATCTGTCTTGAAAAGCCATTGTCAATGTCCCCTCATCATACTAACCTTTGACGGTAATCTTGAAGTTGATCTTTTGTCCGGCGGCCTCGCAGGTATATTCTCCGGCGTCTTTCTTCTCCACCTGCTCCACCACCAGGCGCCGAGATTTACCCTCAGACTCCAGCTTCAGTTTCTTGCTGGAGGTGATCAGTTTCCCATCCTTGTACCACTTCACCTCCGTCTTCTCCTGGAAAACCTCGCAGCTCAGGGTGGTCTTCTCTGAAAAGATAGCGTGGACCTCTTTCTGGACCTTTTCCTGATGGATGAAAGCTGGCTCTGGTTCTGTAGATAAAACACAATGACTTTGGCCTGTTGTTTACAGAATTTGAGGGAACTGAGCAACCAGGTGTCCCCTGGCTTCTAAAAACTTTCTACTGCACAAAAGCAAAGGGTGGTTTGCTGATAACTCAACCCTACCAGAGTCCTTAGAACAGTGGTTCTCAACCTTTCTAGGGCTGGGACCCCTTGGTAACATTTGCCAAGTTGTGGTGACCCCCAACGGTAAAATGTAGGGTTGTCGCGGCTGCTGCAGCGACATCTGGCAGCATGGCGGAGAACTGACACTGCTGCACTAGGAGAGGGCTGAGGAGGACTCTCACCGAGCACAGCAGAAATCACACAGCGACCCACAGGTTGAGAACCGCTGCTGTAACAGCTAAAATGGCAAACCATATAACACAAGCCAAGGGTGTCAGCTTTTATTATTAATAATAATGATGATAATCTAATAGCTATCTAATAGTGGGAGACTCCCGGCGACCCCTGGCAAATTGTCATTCGACCCCCAAAGGGGTCCCGACCCACAGTTTGAGAACCACTGCCTTAGAAGCAGACGTGTACAAGCTCTTCTACCAGTCCTGGTAAACTCAATGCTAGAGTCCATAGAATTTCAGGTTTTGGAATTATGCTTTTTGTCTGTTTACTAATCCTGACAGGTGAACTGGCATCTGGATTTCCCGCCACAACGCAGGCTATTTAAGTGAAATGCATCCAATTCATCCAAAATATAGTTGTTACTTTGCAGAGTGAAGGCTTGAGAATTCAGAGGTTGCTGAGGAACCAGAACTGAAAGCTGAACCCCAAGCAGGTGTAAAAGACACATATTCAGTCAGCTCTGTATTCATTGATATGCTGTGTGGCGGAGCTGTGTAAATATCAGGACTAGATGGACAGATATACAAATTCTTTGGCAGGTAAAACGGCAACAACGTGTGTATTTCATCTGTGAATTTAACTGCTTGCCTAACATTCAGCTTGAAGTATTTGTTTTGGGGTCTGTGTTAACAGGCTTTGGGTTTGTGTTGATGGCATCAGTTTGAGAAGCTTCTGAGAGCATTCAGAATTCATTGAGCTACAGCTGACGTCCTTGTGACCTGCATTTCACCTTTTTTGAGTAGTATTTGCATTCCCATAGACAGGTATTGTAATGCAAGACTAGTTTGAAACACACAAAACCTAGTAGACAAAGGCCCCTAGATTGTTAAAAATGACGTCATAATAACGACGTGCATAAAAGGCCCTCAAAATGTCAACTTTGAGGGCCCATTCACACCACATCCAGATCATCTCCAGACCCAAAATGAATCCTAATGTATCCCTATGCTATTTCTGGCCTCTCTTCACACCAGTCCAGACCAGACCAGAAAAATACTGCATGTCTCATTTTGTCTGGTCTTGAATGCACCGGAACTGCAGACAGGTTAACATAATTTTCCGGACCAGATCTGGTCCGGAAAATGGTGTGAACCTGCCCTGAAGCCACTAACAAATGTCATCAAAGAATAAGAAATAAGAAGATTCTATTCTCAGAATCTTGCTGATCTCTTAAAATCTTGCTGGGAAAGTTCAGCACCCACCACCTCCATGCCACCAACCTTTGACGTTGATCTTGAAGTTGATCTTCCGTCCGGCGGCCTCGCAAGTATATTCTCCGGCATCCTTCTTCTCCACTTGGTCCACCACCAGGCGCCGAGATTTACCCTCAGTCTCCACCTTCAGTTTCTTGCTGGAGGTGATCAGTTTCCCTTCCCTGTACCACTTCACCTCCGTCTTCTCCTGGGCCACCTCACAGCTCAGGGAGACCTTCTCAGATAACACAGCCTGGACCTCTTTCTGCACCTTGTCCAAGTTGGTGAAGGCCGGCTCTGGTTCTAATAGAAAAGCAGTATTAAACTCCCAACCTTTTCAAAAGATGAAACAAATACACATTGCCCAGCAAAGTATCTCTTTCCATTTTTGCCCAAACACTTACAGTCGTCATGTCTCCAAACAGTTCCAACTCTCTCAGATTAATTTCCCTGAACTTCCTGTCCAGTATTTAATCACAAGGGAAAGCTAATTTTCCAGCAGCTGTCCATTTACTAGCTTGGAGAAGGGAGGAAGGAGGAATAGGGGACAAGGAGCAGGGGGATGGCTTGTCTTGCTGTGTATGTGTTATTGTGAAGACACACACAGCTCGCTAGCACACACAAGGGTGGCTCCATAGGACCCTGCAAGGAAAAGGAGTCACCCTAAACAGGATATCAGGACCAGTGCTATGGGGGCCAGCTGATTCTGCAGGAAGCTAAAACGTTTAAACATCAACAAGCAGCATCCATTGTAAGTCATTCCATCAGCATTTGAAATAGCTTAAAACCCTTTTGACTTAAATATCACTTTGACTGTTGTCAGATTTAAACATATTTGTTTCTATAGCGTCACTGCATTTCTTTTTTTAGTTTACAATTTACTTAAATTAGGGCTAGGGGCTAAAACAATTTCTTTTAAAAGTGGCTCAGTCTACTTTTTTAATGGCTTCTTAAAAGCCAAATTCAGAAGAACCTGACATGTCAATTAGAGCTGAAAATCTTTGGGCTGAATGACTCATGACATTGATCTTGGGGAATCCAGTAGTAGCACATTCCCTAACCTGTCACCATTCCCTAACCTGTCACCATTCCCTAACCTGTCACCGTTCCCTAACCTGTCACCATTCCCTAATCTGTCACCATTCCCTAACCTGTCACCGTTCTCTAACCTGTCACCATTCCCTAACCTGTCACCGTTCCCTAACCTGTCACCATTCCCTAACCTGTCACCATTCCCTAACCTGTCACCGTTCCCTAACCTGTCACCATTCCCTAACCTGTCACCGTTCCCTAACCTGTCACCGTTCCCTAACCTGTCACCATTCCCTAACCTGTCACCGTTCCCTAACCTGTCACCATTCCCTAACCTGTCACCATTCCCTAACCTGTCACCGTTCCCTAACCTGTCACCATTCCCTAACCTGTCACCATTCCCTAACCTGTCACCGTTCCCTAACCTGTCACCATTCCCTAACCTGTCACCATTCCCTAACCTGTCACCATTCCCTAACCTGTCACCATTCCCTAACCTGTCACCATTCCCTAACCTGTCACCATTCCCTAACCTGTCACCATTCCCTAACCTGTCACCATTCCCTAACCTGTCACCATTCCCTAATCTGTCACCATTCCCTAACCTGTCACCGTTCCCTAACCTGTCACCATTCCCTAACCTGTCACCATTCCCTAACCTGTCACCATTCCCTAACCTGTCACCATTCCCTAACCTGTCACCATTCCCTAATCTGTCACCATTCCCTAACCTGTCACCATTCCCTAACCTGTCACCATTCCCTAATCTGTCACCATTCCCTAATCTGTCACCATTCCCTAATCTGTCACCATTCCCTAATCTGTCACCATTCCCTAATCTGTCACCATTCCCTAATCTGTCACCATTCCCTAACCTGTCACCATTCCCTAATCTGTCACCATTCCCTAACCTGTCACCATTCCCTAACCTGTCACCATTCCCTAACCTGTCACCATTCCCTAACCTGTCACCATTCCCTAACCTGTCACCATTCCCTAACCTGTCACCATTCCCTAACCTGTCACCATTTCCTAACCTGTCACCGTTCCCTAACCTGTCACCATTCCCTAACCTGTCATCGTTCCCTATCCTGTCACCTTTCCCTAACCTGTCACCATTCCCTAATCTGTCACCGTTCCCTAACCTGTCACCATTCCCTAATATGTCACCATTCCCTAACCTGTCACCATTCCCTAATCTGTCACCATTCCCTAATCTGTCACCATTCCCTAATCATTCACCATTCCCTAACCTGTCACCATTCCCTAATCTGTCACCATTCCCAAACCTGTCACCATTCCGTAACCTGTCACCATTCCCTAATCTGTCACCATTCCCTAATCATTCACCATACTAGGGATGCACAGATACTTTTCGAGTACCAGTGCAGATACTTGGCATTTTCATGAGAACTCCCAGGGCTGCAGCGGTTGCAGCTGGGACGGGCTCTGGCACTCCACCACTGTCCTGAAATCATTAGTCTGTATTGTTTTATAAAAACTGTCACATGACAATAAAAAAAACCTAATCTGTCACCATTCTCAAACCTGTCACCATTCCCTAATCTATCACCATACCCTAATCTGTCACCATTCCCTAATCTATCACCATTCCCTAACCTGTTACCATTCCCTAACCTGTCACCATTCCCTAACCTGTCACCATTCCCTAATCTGTCACCGTTCCCTAACCTGTCACCATTCACTAATCTGCTGCACGTACCTTGGTCATGGAAGGATAGAAAACAAATAATTGGGTATAGCAAATCCATAGCACAGCGACGTGCCCCTGAAAACCGGCGGATGAAATTGCGGTCCTGACATTCAGAGCTGTACCCGGGTAGATGGACGTTGTGACGCCCGCTGTCTATAACGCTCAGATCCGGTAACTGGAGCACCAAATGAAAGTGGCTGTTAATCCTGGCTGACTTTTACAGATGGCTCGCGTTACAGGTGGATCACTAATTATGAATGCCCTTACGGCTGCGGATGTGTGATACATAATACTGCTGGTCCAGAGACCTCCATTAACAGTAACAGTACAACTAGAAAGGTGACTTATAGTAACAAGTAATGACAATGCATTTAAAGTGAACCTGTAAACCAACCGGAACAATTCCAAGTGAGCATACGATGATAAAACGTGGAGGAGATGTAGACCTTTTTTTTGCAAAAATTGAGGTTTAGCTCCATCCTCTTAAAAAGTGATCTGCATAAGCACTACAGTAAAATACATTGTAACAATGTCGTTACAATGTCTTTATAAGGAAAGCTTGCGACCAGTGTTTGCATACTTCATTCACACAGGAGCTGCTTTAAAGGAGAAGTATGAGGTGAGTGCTTTTCACTCACCTCATAGTTCTAGCCGACCTGTGGCAATGAGACTGTCACAGGTCGGCTCAGTAGATCGGGAGGTGAGCGAACACATACCGGGTTCCCTCACCTCTCGATCTTGTCACGGCTCTCTGCCGTGACAGGGGAGGGGCTGTATTCCCCCGCTCCGATCCTCCAGCGCTGACTGGCGGAACGGACTGGGGAGGGGGCGGGTACAGCTGGCTCTGCCTCTAGATAGGCAGAGCCAGCTGTCACTCACGCAACTGGGCGGATCCAGACATCGATGTCGGGATCCGCTCCGGCTGCGGCGTCTCAGTATACCGCGAGCTGTAGCTCGCGGTATACTGAGCCTAGGGTGACGGGAGGACACTAGTTTGTGTCCTCCCGTTACCCTAAGGAGAACTATGGGGAAAAGCCTTAACCCCATAGTTCTCCTTTAAAGTGTTGCTGAGCTAAAAAAAAAGTCAAAAAGCCAGACCTGTAGAGCAGTGCTCCCCAACCTTTTTATCGCCGCGGTCAACCTTTGATAATTTTACCGCGGCCCGCTGAGGGGGGGACGTTGATTGTTTGTTTATATTTTAGATTGTTTTGATTTAATAATTTTTAATTTGTGCTGTCAGTGCCATTATTTTCTAATGGCACCACAGTCGTGCCAGGCAGATTGAGCGTTTTCCTGCTGCAATACAGCCCTGCCCGTGTGGTTGCACACAATCGCAGTTAAAAACACTGCGCGTTTATTCGCGTGCAGATGGGGAGAGCGCTCCATGCTCCGTCCCCGCCCCCCGCTCTCGGCGCTCATTTAAGAGAAAAAAAAAAGTGTAAAAAGCACTTGCCCGGCGCCCGGAACTACATGTCCCGGGCGTCGGGCGATACGAATTCCACGGCCCGGTACCATTTGATCCACGGACCGGTACCGGTCCGCGGCCCGGGGGTTGGGGACCACTGCTGTAGAGGAGAGGGTTAACACTCACCTGTTTTGATGTCCATTCCTCAGACTGTTCAAGAGCTACAGCCACCTGAAGACAATTCATTTCGGGTACTTTCAGGAATATCTCATGCCTGTGTCCTCCTGTTGCATGTTGTGGTTCCGTTCACTGACCCCTACGTCGCTACCTTGTCCCGTAGTGATGCGTAGGCCAGGCAGAGGAACCAGAGAGCACAGCGGGGAACCAGGCATGCAAACTGGTCATTGCGGTGTGAAGAAGGGTAGAGGGAGCAGCAGGACGCTCTTATTTTGCAGGTTCTGGGTTTGTTCATTTTTTAAATGAATTTCTTAAAGGAGAACTATGGGGTCAGTGTTTTTCCCCATAGTTCTCCTAAGGGTCACGGGAGGACGCTGCAGCTCGCGGTATACTGAGAATGCCGCAGCCGGGACGGATCCCGACATTACTGTCGAGATCCACCCAGCTGCATGATTGACAGCTGGCTCTGCCTGTCTAGAGGTAGAGCCGGATGTACCCGCCCCTCCCCCCTCCGTTCTGCCAGTCAGCGCTGGAGGATCAGAGCGGGAGGGGGGTGGGGGAATCCCTGCAGGGAGCCATGAGTGACAGTCACGGCTCTCTGCAGGGACATGATCGAGAAGTGATCGAGCGATGGTATGTGTTCGCTCACTTCCCGATCTATTGAGCCGACGTGTGACAGTCTCATTGTCACAGGTCGGCTCGAACTATGAGCATGAGTGAAAATCACTCGCCTCATAGTTCTCCTTATATGCTCCTGAAGCACAGAGTGGGACCTACCGTGTTCCCCCGAAAATAAGACACTGTCTTGTATTTTTTTTGGCTCAAAAAAACGCACTAGTTCTTATTTTCGTGGGAGGTCTTATTTTTTTTTTTAATGTACAACAATCCACACTTATTACCGGTAGAAGACTTACAAGACAGGAGTGAGTGACAAAGTTAAGAATATGGTGATCATGGCAGTCAGGGGTGCCGTACCTTTCCAAGAGCAATCTGCTAACCAATCGCTGGCCATAATGAGCGAAGCGCGCTTTTACTATCAATTCCTCACAGGTGGAGTGCATTTGATATCACTCCACAGGACAGGAGCCGGCGCTATAGAGGAGGCGTCGGCTTATGCGGCTCTGCTCCCTCCGCTGCCGCCTCGCTTCCTCTAGCGCTGGCTTCGTTGGCACCGCTGATTCTCTCCCGCGGCTCTTCAAGTTCCTCCTTATGCCACCACCGGCCCTGGGAATGGTCACAACTAGGTCTTATTTTCAGGGTAGGTCTTATTTTCGGGGAAACAGGGTAGTTATCAAACTGATATCTGAACCCTGGTAATAACACTGGGTAGAGTTGGCATGCAGTGGGGAAGAGGGGGGTCTAGGTGTATAAGGGGGGTCTAGGTTAGGTCCAAGGTCTTTAAATGGTTAGGTGGATTTCTCAGGACAGCAGCTGCAATTGAGGACTTTTAAAAAAATGTAAACTCTGGGGCCAACATCCCCATCCGGACTCTGGAACAAGCCTGCAGGGCTGGAGTTTGGACTTTTAGGCCTTTACTGCCAGTAAACTTGTTCCAAGTCCAAGACACTTTCTAGGAAAGTTAGGATAAGGATGACCTCACAAATCTGCATTGATCAAATTGAGTCAGCAATGGCGGCTTTCATATTCCTTTACAGGTTTGCATTAAATAGGGAATAATACATAGGTAGCTAACTGTAAGTTCCTTAAAGTCCTAGTCTCCTGGCTGTAATGCTGACCCTCTGGTATTAATCCCTTGAGTCTTCACCTAGATAAAGTAAGCAGACCAGCAAAGCCAGATAAAAGTCAGAAGTCCTTATCGTCTTCCTTCAGCTAGGACAGTACTGAACCAAGAAGGTCAGAACATCAGTCAGGAAACTAGCATTTTGAGAAGACAGGTTACCATACATCTTTATGATAGGTTCCTGATAAACAAATCTACATATAAGAGTCTATGTACATGGTATTTATTCACCCCAAAAATGCTTGTTCCTCCACGTAAGTCAATTGGAATGGAGAAGCAGTTAGATGAAGCTTAGATAGAGGTCAACAGCACCTGTGAGGAAACTCAGAAGGATCTCCGACTAATCTCAAATGCAAGCTGAGAAAACATGATGCATTTGGCCACTGACATCTAATTTGATGTTCCTTGCACATAAACTTCCATTAAAAACATGAAAAATGAATCTCACCTTTGACGTTGATCTTGAAGTTGATCTTCTGTCCGGCGGCCTCGCAGGTATATTCTCCGGCGTCTTTCTTCTCCACCTGCTCCACCACCAGACGCCGAGATTTACCCTCAGTCTCCACCTTCAGTTTCTTGCTAGAGGTGATCAGTTTCCCATCCTTGTACCACTTCACCTCCGTCTTCTCCTGGGACACCTCGCAGCTCAGGGTGGCCTTCTCTGACAGTTTGACATGGACTTCCTTCTGTACTTTGCCCAGATTGCTGAACACCGGCTCCGGTTCTGGGAAACAATATTCATATTTTGTAAATATTGCTTTTTTTCTGGAGCACACTTAGAATGGTTGTAGGTAATATGTCACATCTCATTCCATGCAGTGAAACCTCATACATAACCCTTCATTTTGGTCCTTCATCTTCCTTACATGCTAGAATTAGTATTGCTCAAGAGTAAGAAGGCAGCACAGGTGATTGCAAGAGTGTACCTGAGGGTAGAGAGGCAGCAGCAGGTACTTATGGTGGAGCGTCCCAGAAATTGCATGGGCACAGGTGTCATGGCAGCACACAAGGCACACTGGGAGTCACTAGATGTACTGGGCGCACTGAAGGCACTGGGCGCTCTCAAGGTACTCGGTGTACTGGGTGCACTGGACATAATGAAATCTCAGCGTACACTGGACCCACTGTAGTAAGGTATGGAGGGCAAGTAAGTAATGCAGCATGGAGGAGGGCATGGCTGGAGTCTAACACTGCAGTGCTTGAACACTGAGCAATTTTGCAATTTACAGCCATGCCAATCAGGAGAGCTGCCACCTGATTGGCTGGTGCAGTGATCAGGAGAGTTGTCTCCTGATTGGCCGCTGTTTTGTGAAGGATCCCAAAGGAGTGTCACACTTTACATCACCAAAAATCTCCCCAGAGGGGACACAAATATACATTTTAAAGTTCAACTTTTGCTACAAATCCATTCCTGGCACGTCAAAAAGTGTGTAAAGTGTTACATTTGGTTTTCTTGAGAAGGTCTGAGAAGAAAAGCCTGCCCCCTGCCAGCATGCTGCAGAGGAGGACCCTTGCTCTCTATGTGGAAGTAGTGGTCTCTCTCTGCAGAGGACCTGCATGTCCTCTGCTTAGTCAGATCTAGAGCTCTGAAATCAGCAACGTTCCCGCTCCCTGCTGATTGCAGAGATCTGGCTCTAACTCAGCAGGGAACATGTTGGACATTTACAGAAAGTCCACTGCTTCAAGGGTCCTACACAGGCTGTGGCTGCTTTCTGATGATAACCTTCTTCTTGCGACTCAACTTCCTTTAGAACAAAAAAGTAGAATGAATCTCACCTTTGACGCTGATCTTGAAGTTGATCTTCTGTCCGGCGGCCTCGCAGGTATATTCTCCGGCGTCTTTCTTCTCCACCTGCTCCACCACCAGATGCCGAGATTTACCCTCAGTCTCCATCCTTAGTGTTTTGCTGGAGGTGATCAGTTTCCCTTCCCTGTACCACTTCACCTCCGTCTTCTCCTGGGCCACCTCACAGCTCAGGGAGACCTTCTCAGATAACACAGCCTGGACCTCTTTCTGCACCTTGTCCAAGTTGGTGAATGCTACCTCCCGTTCTGGAAAATAAATAATTACATTCAGGTTTCTTAACATTGCTTTTTATTTTCTTATCACCTTCTATTCTTCTTCTTCTTAATGTAGCGTAGTGAAAAAACATGTTGAGAGTCACAGTCTATAACTGTGCTACGGTCACTCCAGCACATAAACTTTTACTGGAATTTACCTGTTTAATAACAATTTATGGGAAATGAATTAAAATACATGTAAAGTTACTGATGTGTTCCTTTAAAAGCCAATAAAATATATGTGAATGCTGACCATAGTAACACCTCAAACCTGTTGCTACAGCCCAGATGAAAGCTTCAGTCAGGCTGGCGGTCATAGTGGATTCTCTGCATGCTGAGGGGTGGGAGATGGAAGTACTTAGCTTGCCTTATGGGCATCAACATTGAGAACCAAGAGCAGACCAAAGGCAAAACAATGGCTTGGAGAGTATCGCATTTTAGGTTGCAAAAAGTAATGTCACCCAACTTTGAATAATCTCTAGACAAAAAAGTTTATTTTAGTAATGCGCTATGTGCCGTGTTTGGGAAACTTCCCTCTCTGTTTGCTATGGTTTCCCCTTAAATGGAAATTTTTGGTCAGGACAAGGTCAAAGAAAACATATATGTTTGTCAGATTTCAATTCAGCTTTCCAAAAAATGTTAAATAAATAACCAATAAATCACTGTACTGGAGTAAGGAACAGCAATTATATATTCCTACAAACCACCCAAATCCTGGAACTCAAGTAACTATAATTACCTTTGACGTTAATCTTGAAGTTGATCTTCTGTCCTGCAGCCTCACAGATATATTCTCCAGCATACTTCTTCTCCACCTGATCCACCACCAGACGGCGAGATTTACCCTCAGATTCCACTGTGATTTTCTTACTGGAGGTGATCAATTTTCCTTCCCTATACCACTTGACCTCCGTCTTCTCCTGGGCCACCTCACAGCTTAGGGTGGCCTTCTCTGACAGCACAGCCTGGACCTCCTTCTGGATCTTGTCCAAGTTAGAAAATGGCAGTTCTGGCTCTAAAAAGGAAAATGAAGCAACTCATAGAAAAAAGTACTTCTTTTTCACTCTCAAAGAATCTAGAGGATATACAGAGACTGTATCATCTAACGAAGCCACCGAACTCTAATGTGCCAGTATGCCAAGAAGTATCCTATACTCAGAGTAGAAATCCTAACATGACCTGCGGTTGCAAATCAAAGTAGGCCTTGTGGGGTTCCCCAATTTAAAAGGGTCAGCACATGTGCTTCTTGGGAAAAACTGTACAACTCATGGCCAATGCATTGCTCCTCACCTTTCACCCTGATCTTGAAGTTAATCTTCTGCCCAGCCACTTCACAGCTGTAATCTCCAGCGTCATTCTTCTCCATCTGTTCCACCACCAAGCGGCGATATTTGCCCTCAACAACCAGCCTCTGCTTTTTGCTGGAGGTGATCAGTTTCCCCTCTTTGTACCACTTTGCCTCTGCTTTCCCATCGGACACCTCACAACAGAGAGTGGCGGTCTCGTTCAGGATGGCTGTCACTTCCTTTTGTACTTTATCTTGGTTAATGAAAGCAGGCTCGGGTTCTGAAAAATACCATTGATACCAGTGTTAGAAATTTCAGATTAATGTTGTCACCCCTTTATTTGTCCTGGTGACCATTGTACCTAAGACAGGAAGTGAGGACAAATTCAAAAATTTTGATTTGCCACCACAGCAAGGTGGGGGAAAATCCTCCAATGGGGACAACTGCTCCTGGGATAACTCTCTAAGATGGGATTTCCTGTTAACTAAAAATAAACCAAAGATGAAGAACATGGGGGCATGTCCTCATACTAGCAGGTGGAGGTTCAAGAGCAGCCTTAGAAAGTATTATTTTACTGATAAAGTAGTGGATGCTTGGAATAGACTTCCAACAGAGGTACTGAGTTATTCTACAGTATCTAAATTTAAACTGCTTGGTATAACAATAGGTATAACATAGGTTAAAAAAATTAAAAAACTTGACAGACCACTGTATCTTTTTATGCACTCCTCTATGCCTATGTTCCAGCTATATGGGATTTGCATGAGGTTAACCTACTTTGGGCTCACTTGGGAACCACATATTGACAGTCCGCCCAGTGCAGAGCTCTCCGCACTGAGTTCCTGGATCTGCACACCTGCTGTGCCCTCTGTGAGGTGTTCCCACCATCCCTATAGGATTTTATATTATGCAGAAAAGAATAGATGGATCTGTTACATACAAAGGTAGGTGGGAACCGAGCTGGAAATTATTGGAGGGTGATCTTGCTGCTGGATTCTTCAAGACATATAAGAAACCAGAGGCTGACGTAACCCATTAAAAACAACATGATGTTTGGGTGGACTGGCCCATTAACTGAACTGGGTTGTGTACATGCTGAATTTGCCAGTTTAGTGACTTATTCTGTGACAGGAAGGGTTGGGAAGTCTCTCCAATGGTGAAAAAAAAGCAATAAACAAATTTTTGGCAGTGTGGAAGGGTTAGACCTTGACAATGTTTTTATTCGTGTCCAAGCCTTTCTGTTATGGTTAAAACCACTCCCTCTATTTCTTGTCATGTTGTTACCGAGACATAAAGTAAGGGCAATTCACACCAAGGGGGTCACAGACAAAAATAATAGAAGTTTTACGTTTTTGCCACTTCATGCAAAATTGTCTGGAATTAGGCTTTAATGAGACACTGCTACTTTGCCCATACAGGGGATTTCGTGTCTTTGATAAGGCTTCCCCCCCACCTGACCTACAGATACTCACATCTTCAGCAATCCCCCACCGATCCTCCCTTTATCTCAGCCGGCACCAAAATACCTGATGCCAGCTGGCTTCACAGATTAGAGGAAGCAATGAGATCACCTTAAACCCAAGCAGTGTCTTATACCCTAAACCCTCCAGCTGTGTTGCAACTGCAAATCACCATTAGGCATTACAAGACTCTGGCAGCCACAGCCATGACTCCCAGAGGCAGATGCATGATTGGATTTGTAGTTTTACCACAGCTAGAGGGCCCGAGTTTGCCTTCCCCTGGGTAGAGAAAGAAGCGGTGGGAGATCACTAGAGAAGTGACTATAACATGCACCTCCACGTCACTTCTAATACCTTTGACGCTGATCTTGAAGTGGATCTTCTGTCCAGCAGCCTCACAGGTATATTCTCCGGCATCATTCTTCTCCACTTGTTCTACCACCAGGCGCCGAGATCTGCTCTGAGACTCCACCCTCACTTTCTTGCTGGAGGTGATCAATTTCCCTCCCTTGTACCATTTGACCTCTGTCTTCTCCTGGGACAGCTCACAGCTTAGGGTGGCCTTCTCTGACAGTTTGACATGGACCTCCTTCTGCACCTTGTCCAGATTGGTGAATGCTGGTTCTGGTTCTAGAACAGAAAACATTTACTGCCGGTTGTAAAACTTCTCATTGGTGGTCAGGGATCAATGCGAATAAACCAGATGTCGGGAACATATAGCCAGTGTATGGCTATCTCATATTTGAGCGAAACTGTAACACAAGTTCCAAGTTCTCTTACCTGTAACTTTTAAGGTGAAAGTGACGCTGTCATTGCCGACTTTGCATATGTACGTCCCTTCATCTTCCTTCCTAAAAGAGGTGATGACCAGTTTGTTTTGCTTTCGGTAGGCTTCGCAGAGGAACTTCTTGGAGTGTCTCACCTCCTTCTCATCTTTGTACCACGCTACCCTGGTGTTCTCCTCCGAAGTCTCCGCAACCAGCTCCACCTGCTCCCCAGAATTTACCTTCAGTTCGCTGGCCTTCTTTGTGTTTGTGAAATGGGGAAGAGCTGAAGAAACATGACATGAGAAATGTTGTTAGATTGTGTAAGAGGATTTTAGAGTAAACACCTGAATAATACACACAATTATTTATTATGAAACACTAAATATAGAGGTAGAATTGAGGGGGTGTGATATAATGAATAAAGGGAGGATAAGTAACAGAAATATGCAATATATATATAAAATATACACTATAAATATGTAGGGCTGTGCAAATTAACGATTAATTCCTCGATTAATCGTTAATCTTTTTGATCAATTAAAAAAAATTTTGATCACTAATGAAAACACTCACCTCGTTGACTATGAAATGTAAATGTTAAAATATGGACTAAGTTGTGAAACTAGCAGTATCTTAAATGTGAGTTGCATGTATGTGGATGTATAATCATGCTGTTGTAAATTACATTATTAATTATGTGGTTGTAAATTATTATTATTATAAATTATAAACGCTCCTCTCCTGAAATACTCTGCTCTGCTGGAGGACTCTGCTCCTCTCTCTATAACTCTCCTTTCCTGAAATACTCTGCTGGAGGACTCTGCTCCTTCCTCTATAACTCTCCTCTCATGAAATACTCTGCTCTGCTGGAGGACTCTGCTCCTTCCTCTATAACTCTCCTCTCCTGATATACTCTGATCTGCTGGAGGACTCTGCTCCTTTCTCCAACTCCACTCTTCTAAAAATACTCTGCACTGCTGGAGGACTCTACTCCTTCCATCTACTCCCCTCTCCTGAAATTCTCTTAATTGTTGGAGGTTTTTGCTCTTCCCACTAATTGTCTTTTACTGACATTGACAGATCTCACCAATGGACTTCACAAGAAGCCATTAAGTGGTTTGAAGTAGAACCCCAGCCAAAACCAAGAGAAGCATTTTAGTGGTCTGAGCCACGAACGACAAAACAGTACACTGCAAAAGTGCTCATTTTGGCATGCGTCTATTACTTAAAACCTGTGGCGTAAGCTAAATTCCCCTGTAACGCCAGGCCTGACAGTTGACAATATGTGAATGCATCTTCTTAACAGCTGCAGACTTGTTGGCCAGATTGGCAGTTAGAGGACATTCCTCCAGCTTGGGGGGGGGGGGGGGGGGGGCGAAGGTCCAGATCCCGTTAAAGAT